GCGCGCCGTAGGGGGGTACTTAGGGCGTGATAAACCTTGCTTTAATGGTGTCGGTGCTACAGTCGGTTGATTCATAAACAGGCAAAATGAACGGACAACGGTCAAATTCCCGCTCCTGAGGCAACTATTCGTGGCTGGCTACGTCTACCGTAGGGAAACTTTGGAAGAAGACCCACGTCAGGGGTAGTGAAAATCATCATGACTGTGCTCGTCGTACAGTGGTTGTAGTTGCCGCAGTTTTGTTCACCAGTGATTTTTTTGGGAGGGGGAGGTAGGTTGGTGTGCATTCCAGGCGGGAGACGACAAAATGGTGCTCAAATCCAGCACTGTCAGTGGGCTGTCAAGTGGGGGGATTGGGAATGGAGCTATGCATTGAAGGCAATAGCTTGGATGTACGAGTGCCATTGAGGGCGCGACTGGGCCGTGTCTGACAGTGTCTCTAACCATTGCTGTACCCGTGTCGGGGTCCCATCCGGGAAGACGGCAATGACCAAGACAACTGAGTTTGCTGGTAATAATTTTCACACTTCGTTGCCAAGTAATTGTTTGATCGCTTCTCTGATGTAACGCCTACGCCACCAGTGGCACAGGTTCACAAAAGCTGCCCTGACCTTTCCACCCGGACTGATACAGCTGCGCAGGTAAACACGTTTGTCTGCTCCCTCTATCGGTTTATCCGCAAGCATGAGGCTAGGGTTCGACCCCACTCAGTCTTGCAGTGGCCCTTTACACTTTACAGGTGTGAAGTGCATGCCAAACTATGAGGCGGAATTATTTAGATTATTTGATATTGTTTGCATTACGACGGGGTCATATCCAAGAAGAGCTATGACGTCTGCGTACTCGATGTCTGTGATCGGAGTCCCAGCACTTCGGCTTCACAGGCATTAGAGGCTGGTAGTGAGCTTTCAATGACCGCATCACTGGCGAAGTCGAAGAGGAAAGGTGAAAGCGGATGGCCCCATCTGACACCACTCGATGTGGTGAACTCAGAGGAGAGCTTCCTGTAGACCTTCACACGGCCGCGGAAGTTGGTGTACAGCGTCTTAAGAAGGGTCAAGAATTGATGGTGGATACCTTTGCTCGGCAGATAGTGCAATAGTGTCTAGCTATCCACAGAGTCAAAGGCAGCTTTTGGATCGAGGAACACAACCATTGTTGATTGCTGGAAGCAGTGTCGCTGTTCCAGAATATGTCGGATGGTGAAGGCATGGTCTATGCATCCTCTTGAGGACGGAACCCAGCTTGGATTTTACGGATCTCTCTCCTGTGTTCAGCCAACCTTCGAAGGATAAGGCCAGGGAGCACATTCGATGCCACGGTGGTTTACACACAGCGTCCGCGTACCCTTTTTGAAGATAGGGATAACTGTCGACAAGCCCCAGTCCTCGGGCCCGTAGTGAGTAACCTTATTTATGCGTCTTTGGGAGACCGTTTCTGCATGAAATAATAGTTCATGTGGGTCTCAGATAGTTGCACTGAGATTTCGTGTTGTGGCTTATGTTTAACAGCCGTTTTATCAGTTGTGAGGCCCCAGAATTTATATTTCGTCTCTTTTCGCTGTAGAGTTGGGAGGCGATGAATAATTTGCTATAATTGACAAGTCAATATGCTGTCCCGATCCGGTTCGATGCCTACCGGCCAATCATCTGTGCTCCGCAGAGTATAGCTGAAGATCAACGCGAGCCAAAGTCAGTCAATTAGCAAGCGTCATTTGTCTTCGTCAGCAACGTAGGTGAATGATCAGGACACTCAAAACAAACATCGGCCACCTGACACAGGCTATCAAAGAGCAAACCAGAAGTCAAAACAGTCACAATCAAGCGAATTTGATCAACCAATCCAAGGTTAGCAACGACGTCCATGAAGACTGTTCATTAAGAAGAGAGCACAGATTTTCCTCAGAGCAAACCGAAGGCACTCCTTGATCTAGTCCAAGGATCCCGATATCTTGTGTTCGCAGGAACTGGTTCTATTCGGAAAGCAACGTAGACAACTTGTTCACATAGTCTGACCTATTAAGGACTACATTCTAGGCTTTCTCTGATATGGTTAAAACCGCACCGCCCCCTACCCTCGCTATTTAGTTCTCTCAGGGCCTGTAGGTGCTTTGGAACACTGAGTCCCGTAGGTATTGATAATATATATTGACCGAATCTGTTTTGAATTAATCTAGTCCATTACTTGAAGTGGGCTGGTCTGACCCAGAACACCTTCAAACTGAGCCTTGTTCTCTAGTTGGACCGGTTGATTAAGGGAAATAGAGGATTTGGGGCCCAAAGTTTGCGGTCCAAATAGGATACTGACAAGCATCAATTTCAATTAATTTTGAAGAACGCTGTGAGCCGGGGTAGACGCTAGTATTCCCCTCAACTTTCGACGATTTTTCACCGCTTCTCGTTCGGCAAATGAGCACACACATCTATCGAATTCCACACCTAAGATAACTCCTGATTTGATGAATCATACGGACTGGCGAGTTGTTCGAATTCCTTTGCCTTCAGATACAGAGTTTATATGGCTGGACGCATGAAATTTCGGAGACATTCCAGTAAGTTGGATACAGCTCCTACACAGGATTTTCCAGTAAGTTTTAGGATAAACACATCCGTATCTGGGATAGAATAACGCCTGCCATGCGAAAAAATATCAATAACCAAAAGTTTTGGGTCTTTGAATTGGAAAGAAGAGGTTTTAAGGCCATAGTCGTAGTCGATTTTCCAATTTGTGATGTACCTTTGAAACAGAGATCATTCGTCACTAGTTTGTGACTCACTCATCAGCAACGCTTAATCGCCAGGTTCCTCTACTATACACACTCACCGCTATCTTAAAAGCGAAGTTGAAAGAGTAACCAATAGCCATTCTGGGATGTGATGATCCAGAAAGGATGAACTAAGGCGTACGCATAATGGACGCATAGATCAGCTATTATAGGCCCATCTATGATTGGCCATCAAACAGAGTCCAGAGTCCCATAACCTCGACCCGCAGCAACTTAGGAAGTACCTTGAGGAGTGGATCCGAATGAGACAATGCACCCTGAATACACCGAAGAGCTTCCTGTTTCAAAAAGGATATAACATTCAAGTTGCTATCCTCAAGGGCTTCAGCCGATATGCGAAAGATATTTCTGGCTACTAGACTGAACATACCAACTGGCACTGTTTTCCGAATATATGGTACCTAAAAGACATTCTAAATTCAGTCCAACACTGACCCTATAGCCCCTTACCTAGAACTGTGGTGGATGATACCCTGAAAACGCGATAAAGCACTTGTCCAAACGCCAGCTTCCTCACAACAGACCACTCGAACGCATTCGTGCTCATCTACAGCGATTACAAGCTTACTCAGAGACTTTTGTTGATAGCGGACACCACAGCAAGTAGACTTTTAAGACCTGAGTGATGTGAACCAAGGTAGCCACTTCAACCATTCTTTTTGCAAAGACAAAAAGCAAATTTGGGCATTACCAGTTTTGCGCGACCAATCATAGGGCACCAAGTCAAGGACTGGTAGAGCGGACGCTGATGGAACCAACGCAAACATCGAGTTAGGGTGACCGTTCACAGGGTAGAAAATGTACTACAGCAATCTTTTATACCTTTTTGCAGTAGAGACTTCAGCTTGGTTGGGTGCACGCAGATATGCGATGTGCAATGGGGTAAGGGGTAAAAGTTACTTTAATTTTTTTCTGTGGTAAAACAAACTGGTACACCCGATAAAACGTAACTCCATAACAAATCAATCGCTTCAATCTACCAGTTATGAACCCTGCACCATAGGCACATTGGTTCCAGCTGTTATGGTTTCGATCACCGGAAAGCGGGAGAGTGTGACGCATCCAGCCAAGCCTTGGAGGCGATGGCCTGTTATATTTGGTAATTGGGTAGCTACGCATTGAACGCTATGCATAGAACAGATAGCTTCGATAAACAAGCGCTACTGACTGCGCGAATGGCCGTTTCTGCCGGTATCACTAACCATAGAAGAGCTGATTCCTGCGGTCACCATCTAGAGAGGCGGCAGCTATCGACCCGACTAAGTTTACTGGTTAATGTTTTCACACTTCGGTCGCTTCAACTCAGCACAGGGCTGGGCGAAAAGAGCCCCGCGAGGCAGACGGTCTTCTGACATGTGAAGTACATGTCCTAACCAGAGTAACCTATGGAGCGTGAGAGAGTTCATTCTTCCTAAGACCATCTGGCGTATCTCAGCATTACTCATCCGATGTTCCCACCAGACCTGACCAATGCTTTGGAGACACCGACGATCATCATCAGCAGCAGCATCGACAGCATGACATCAGTGTTCAACACCGATGCTTCACTGCCGTACAACCGTGACTTATTTGAAAGCCTTATTGTAAAGACATGAGCAAAGGTGGACGGGGAAGGGACTTAGTGCTAGCTTAACACAATCATTCCGAGGTGCCTACACCTCCAGACATTCACTCAGGCAATCTGGATAGAAACTGACAACAAGAACGCCACTGACATCGGTTGGCAGCCATATCCTGTAGTGTCTCCAACCAGGCACAGTAAGGATCACGCGGTCTCCATCCTGGAAGGCGAGTAGCACCGACAGCACCCAAGCGTCTCGTGATCTCCTTCATACTCCTCTGCCAAGTCAAGGGTTGGCCACCTCTCTGTTTACGCCACTCCGAATTGGGCATGGAAAACAGTACTCTCTTCGGCAAACGATGGTTCGGCATACGTAACACATGTCCCAACCAACGCAGCTTCTGGTGCTGGACACATTCTTCAATGGAAGTACCCGTTACACAACCGAAAAACGCGCTTTCTAACTGCCTCATTACGGATTCGCCGACACCGACGGTACGCACATACACCGACGATCAAAATACAGTATCGATATATGAATGCTCGTGCATACGAGTAATTAGTACTCTTATCACTATCACATTTTTCTTACTGTGCGGTCACGCATCATCCACAGAAAACCTACAAAATACACAAGATTAAATACGGACTCACCTCGAGATTAAGCAGTACTACGTGTACAAACCCAGCAGCCAGAAGACAACATACGATGACTAAGGAGGAGATCAAATAACGTAATCGACGTCTCCATGCGGGAAAGTGTACTTCCATTTGTCCAGTTACACAACTTTCACGCCAGAGCCCATGATATCCTGGTCGCTGATCAAGCAAGCGAAACAACCACGCCAAATCGTTTGTCGTATCTTTAAGCAAGGGATTACTGGACCAACACTCAACCAGGGTGGCATGCTGTCTTGACCAAAGCTTAGTGCAAATCAATGCCCAGATAATCATTAACAGAGTGAACATCAGGCGAATCACAAGTTCGGGTGCTGAAGGTACCGGTTCCTCGGGTGAGGAGTGCAGGTGAGTATTGATAAAATTTATCATAAGGGAGATAAGGTGACATAATAGGGCAACAACCGTCGGTCCCAAAAGAAACAGGCAATAGGTTTGCATCCAATTGAAGTAAAAGCCAATCGAATCACCGAAATACCCACGAAGTGCCAGAGCGTCAGGAAACAAGCGAGTGCTCTGAAAATGGTTGGACCATATGGAACGGAGTTGCTCTTTATCATGACACAGGACTAATTCAGAAACAACGCCCATTTGTTCCAAAAGGAAGAGCGTGGGTTTGAAGTGATGTTGCGCCGGAAATAAGGTGAGGTGCGGGGCGCGGAATTGGGTTGCGTGAAGGAGTTTCACCAACATGTCCTTGTCAAGTACGTAGGACTTTAATGCAAGTTCAGCTAGCCATGAGATCTGCCCCACGGAAAGCTCGTCAACTGATCGCTCCAAGACTGGATAGAATCAAACAAACAAATGATTAAGTGCATGCAGTTTTCACATCACTTCTGTGGGAGTTATGGGACAGAGTGAACATCTAATCAGGAGAATGAGCACATTTTTCACCATTAATGAATTTGATAGTGTCAACCCTTTTGACATGTAGTCGAAGTTCTGCTATGTATAGTGGACGTCCAAAGATGGCTCTTGGTTGAGTGTGGCGTGCACCCAATCAACACGTTATGCAAGACCCAGGGAATGCGGATTGACGGCTGCAAAATGTCTTTGAAAGAAACGTTTTACATATAATCAGACTGAACAGCCAACCACTCTTAAAACCGGACGAGTAATGAGTGTCAAAAATGAAAAGGACTAGATAGATGAAAACAGGACTAGATAAGAAAGCTGAAGTGTTAACTCAGGATCGATTCAGACTAGAGTTACTGAGAGGCTAAGTGTAGCTGACGAAAGAAACAAACATCGCATCCTAGCATGTTTATGACTGATCACTAGATAGCAGTTTGGTCGTGTGATGACTGGTAATTTTGTTGTAAACAAGTAAACCAACATCAACCTGTGCTGATGTTTTTTCTATGAAGCATTTGGTCCCATTTGGTCATCGCATCCGTACGAATGGGACAGACGCCGAGGAGACTTAACATTAACTCCTCTCCTCTACTGCGAGACAAAACACATAGCTCACATACGAACAGAGGTTGATAAAAACGTTCCACGGACAAACATGTATCCGGTTTGTGTCAGGTGACCAGGATCACAGTGTTTATTCGAAGCTTCTTTGGCACAGAATTAGCTGCTGAAATTTGGTCAGCATAACCCCGCCAACCGCTGTGGTTTCCCAATCCCTATGTTGGTCCCTGGCTTGCGATTCTGTCTATAGTAGCTTGAGGCAGTTTTACCTGGGGCAACTGAAGATTGGCAATGTTTTATTCACACACAGAATAATCGAGAGGGTCAGGCTCAAATCTTCTTGACCCATAACATGTCCAACGGAAACAGGCCCCGTAGGCAGTTTGATATACATCCGTCGAACGGATTTGATGTTCGGTTTACTATTACTTGAATGCGTTCAATATTCAAACGCGACTACTATCAATTCTGTGTTGAAGCTTACTAATTTAAAGTTTTCTTTAATTTGATATTTGAGCCAGATGCATTCGATACAAGTTAGGAGTACAACCGACAAACTCCATCACCTTGGGCACAGAAGTGACATCAGCCTATCCACCAAAGTTCGAGTTTACAAGGCTGCAACAATGTCGGTGCCCGATATTTTTTTGAACGACAAACGGAACGGAGATGAAGAAAATTGTTGACATGAGGGGCACTAGGCCGGGTTGCGGATGGCGATTGTGGCCACGATGCGTGGGCGATACGTATTCCACTCCTGAGAGTGAGCCTAAGTATAGCTTTTAGGTGTGAATTCTTCAGAGCGAAATAACGCCTACCAAACAGAATGACTCTTCTTTAGAGTAAGGTCAATCGTGCCATTTCAAAATGCCTTGAAATGCTGTTCATAGGAAGAAACAGGAAGGGGTTTATGCTACAACCGACCTTGCTGGTAGGTTGCACACTAAAAGTGAGAACAGTAAAAGTGAGCGATTTACATACGCATCGAATAAACACGCCCTAGGTCCACATTGAGAGTAATGAAGGACCCGCGGATCAGAGACGCCTAGCATGCAAACGCATTAGTGTAACTTGTACGTTGAGGCTACGTAAAAAGACGATCTGACATCATATTACTAGCAAACAGCTCTGTAAAGAAGACATCCACCGATAAACAAGTAACTTCAACGCGGTCCAAGGACAGGTACTATCAACTAAATTGCAGCGTTTAAAGGTAAGTCATTCAAGCTTGAGGTGATAAAATAGACTAAGTTAGGGAAGTGTTTCAGGTTGGCATACTTACCACTTATGTCGTTTTTCAGTTTCGGTACGATGGATATGGCACATTCTAATATGAGTTGTCGAGACAAGGTGATCAACAGAAAGTGCTCCGAGTGCTTGAAATGATAAATTCCATCGGAGATGGTTTGACAACAAGTTCTAACAGATAAATATGGATTGGTTTTGCTGGGTTGTATAGGAGCGTTCGGTGGATGGCCACGTGAAAAACATCCGGCTACCAAGCTGGCGATTTCTGGAGTAGATATACATGATGACAGTAACAGACAAAACTCTGTTGTGCCGTTTCTCGACATGATCTGAAACAATGATAAAAAATTCAAGCAGTACATGCAAATAATCTATTATAATTTCTTGGTTCTTTTTTCCCCGTGATGGAACCACGGAGGGGCGTTTTGAAAGTCGGTCGAAAAAGAAGCAACATATGGGGACGCATTCCAAGTATGCAGGTCTTACGTCAATTGCGCTTGTTTGGTACGTGAAAAATGCGTACCTACGTTGGGGAAAGCAGAGTAGATCATCAGTAGAAGAAACGATGTAAAAACGATTATAGCAAGATGCCCCAGCGTACGTTTTGGTTAATTTATTCCGCACACTGGTATATTCTTTCAGATCCGAATTACCCAACGCCAATGGGCTGTTTCTCAGAAAATCTTCGTTATCCTCGGTTGTTTTACTCCACATTGTAATGTACAACTTTCCTCCTGGCTATTCATTGGAGCGAGACTTTCAGTGTTTAGAGCGGGAATTTATTGACCGGAAGGTCGTTTCTCAGATTCGTTATCCTCGGTTGTTTTACTCCACATTGTAATGTACAACTTTCCTCCTGGCTATTCATTGGAGCGAGACTTTCAGTTCAGTGAGCGGGAATTTATTGACCGGAAGGTCCGTGATTCGAACCCCTAGCTTTGCATCTCGACTTCTGTCTATCTAGGCTTGGACAACCTGGAAGTTTCCTAGCCCTTGTGCTTTCTCCAGGTGGCGTGGTAGCTAGGCACAGAAAGGGTTCTACAGCTGAGTGACTATCTATTATTATCATCTTACTTCATTGTAGTGCCACAACAAATAAGCTATTGTAGGCCGAATGAAATATTGCCGCTTCGCGATCTCATACTGACTGTGGGCTACTGCCAAAGTTGTATTCTTGATTGTGCAAACAAGTACTTTGGAGCAGCCAAGGAGTTCAGTTGTGAGCTCCTGACCTGGCCGCCTATGGCTTGAGTCCAACATTGGGCTGTCAACTATTTTGGAAACCTGACAGTACCTTAGTGGCTGTGGTACCCATGACATCATAGCCAACTGTGTGGAACTGGCAAACTAAAAACGTTATTGACTGTCAGTATAAGGTCCCATTTCATCCAGTATCTATGTCATCCTGGCCTCTGAAATCGGCTTAACGCAATCTCTTACATAACCTCAATATAGTGCTGTGTGATCAACAAATCGATTATTTCTCTACAAAGGTCCTACGATCAACAATGTCGCAGCGGCCCATTGGTCATTTTCGGATCTAATGATCAGAGCTTTCTCACCAGATGTAGATATTCATCACCTGAAAGAAAATTTCGAGACGTGAAAAACCAAAAAAACAGCAAGAATCACGAAATTGCAAACGGTTATCGCAGCTGTGAGAGAAGCGATTCAGTTCCAGGCACAGAGGAGAACCATAAGGGACCACCTGTTCGTTTTAGTGTCATAACTAAGCGTAGGACTGCCA